GTCAACACTGTGGAAGATCTGGATCGCCTTACCTCTTCTTGGCTGAAGACGTCTGCTCAGGAGTTGGTTGCCCTATTCCAGTCGCCAGATCCGCAGGACTACACCAAGTGGGGTGAGCGCCCCTCTACTATCCAGATTTCGGTTTCCAGACTGTTTCCTGGAGGTGTGGTGTCGTCATATGAAGGCAGGCTCTGGAGGTATCTTTCCAACCGTCTTGGCACTCTTCTGTATCTGGCTGACAAGCAGTTGTGGCCCGCTTATCAGAGAGCCTGTCAAGCCCTGCGCCGATATCGTCCCTCGTCGCGTGATGGAGGTTCCCCCCCCCCCCCCCCCCCCCCTGATTGGTCATGGTGGAGGTATTATGCCAATAGGCTTTGTTCCCTGGATCTCGGTTCCATCGATTGGCTGCGTGGCGTCTTGGCTGAGTCCGCATCTGCTCTGGAACGTGCTGCATCCGCGCAGAGATATCAATCCTGGACATCATGGGCCATCCGATCTGTCCAGGAAGGCTGTTCTGCTGCGCACCGAATTGTCAAGGGATCGATGGATTGGGCATCTTTTGACAAGACCACCCCGAACCCAGACGCCCCCAGTCGGCACGCCGCAGCATCATCTTAAGGCGCGAGAAGAAGTTTGGCATGCTATCTGGGAGCCCATGGAGGAGCACCCTGATGATCCTTGCCTGGCCCTGGATTTCCCGCCGATATCTCCTGGCGACCTTGCATCCTTGCCCCGCCCGTCTCTGGACAAGTACAGACAGATGTGTCGCAGGTACAAGGCCCGCACGTCGGTTGGACTGGACTCGATGCATCCACATCACCATGCGCTCCTGTCGGACTCGTCTCTTCTGGCCCTGTTTGGCATCTGGCGTGCTGTTCTGCGAATGGGTAGATTTCCTCCCATTCTCGCGGTGTTCATCATGAATTTGATACCGAAGACTGATGGCGGCGAGCGTACTGTGGCCTTGTTCGCGACGTGTGTGCGCACGTTCTCTCGGTTCTTCAGGCACGCGTGCGGTGTTATGTGGGCGCGCTTGCATCCCCGTCCATACGTGTATGGTGTGCGCGGTCACTCTCGTCAAGCATGTGTGTGGTGCATGGGCGTGCTAACGGAGCTTGCTGCTGCCAATGGCCTATCTGTGTTTGCACTTTTGCTCGGAATCCAGAAGGCTTTTGAACGGGTTCGCCATGGACTTCTCATTCGACGAGCTAGTGAGTTTGGGTTTCATCCGGCACTCTTGCGGGTATTCTTGTCTCTGTATCGTTCCCCGCGTGTGGTCGCGCTGCGCCGAATCGCCGGGGAGTGGGTCAGGGCTAGTAAAATTATTGTGGCTGGTTGTTATTTCGCCAATCTGTTTATGCGTATTTTATTGATGCCTGAGTTGGGTTCCTTTCTTCAGACTTATCTAAATATGCATCTTGGCCTCGTCGCCGACGACGTCCAGGTCCGGGGGGTAGGCACGGAGAGGGAGTTGCTCAAAATGGGCCCTGATGCGTCACACCTTTCGATGAGCAAGCTGACCTTCTCTGCACGTTTGCCACTCTCTGAGAAGAAAAGTGTGTTCTTGGCTACCGACCCCCAGTTGGACCAGAGTATTGCAGCTGAAACCCCACGTCTCGCTGGTGCCGTCAAGTTCTCATGTCGCAACCTCGGGATTGACTATCAGCTTCGTCAGGGGGCGTCGCTCTCGTATTGTCCTCAATGGTCGTTTGAAGAAGGCCATGTTTAAGGCCCGACGCCTTCTGAAGTTAAAGAGAGCTGGTGCCAAGGTTGCAGGTATTGTAAACACCAACCTGCGGCCCACGGCCATGTATGGCATCGATGTGGTCGGTCTGTCTAGCCATCAGATTCGTCAGGTTCGTACCAAATACCACGCTGGTCTCGGCACAGGTAAGCGTCGGTCTGTCACGATGGATTTGGCTTTGCATGGTGTTACCGACCCTGCGATTGATGCGCATGCTGAAGTTATTCGCCTCTGGACTGTCTTTAGATGGGATTCTCTCTTGCCCGTCGGTATGATAGACCAAGTTTTCCAGGAAACATACACCAAGGTGACGCCATATACCCCGTGGACAGACTTGCAGGGCCCAGGACAGATATTGGTAGCCACTATGCGTAGGATTGGGTGGTCTGCGGTCTCGCCCACAATATGGCGGAATTCTCTTGGAACCGACGTCGATATTTCTTCTACGTCCCCCCGTGAGGTGGTTGCATTGGTGACTCGCGACGCGTCTGTCTGGGCCTGGAAGCAGGCCTCTGAGCGCCACCCATCCTTCAGTCACCTGTCTGGGCCCCCCTTCCTGCCTCCTCTACTCTCCCTCCTGTCAAAAAGGACTGAAGGATGGGGGGTGCTCCAGCAACGTGCACTGGGGACTTTTATATTTGGGGGCATATACTTTAAACCTCAGTGCCCCATTTGTCAGCTTGTCCCTTCTGACCCCGTGTTTCACACCTTCTACGAGTGTGATGGGCTTTTGGAGTTTCGTCGTTGGTTCGGCCCGACTCCAGCCTTCACCCGCTGCATGGAGCAGTATCGCGAGAACCTTGTCTGGACCACTGCCATGGTCCCCGACCCGCGCTATTGCTCCTTTCTCGCACCACCTTTCCCAGACCCTGCCTGGGAAGGGGCCGCCGACGGCCCCTTTTTCTCGTCGCCTGCGTATGGAGATGGCTCGGGAAAGCATGGCCCCTCGCCGCTCACTCTCCGCTGTGGATGGTGTGTCTGCTCATTTGCCCCGCGTAGCCGAAACGTCTTTGGCGAGCCCCTCGCCAATGATCGGCTTCGTCTCAATGCTGGAGCTTACGGCGTGTATCCCTTTCTCACCCAGGATGTCTCAGGGCTGAGATCTATGTGTTTTTATTTTATCTAACCCACGCTGCCCCCTCCGACTGCTATGAGTATGTCACGGATGCCCAGTCTGTCGTTGACGGCTGGGCAATGGGGTACGAAGCTACCACGCACGGATGGGCCGCCCATGCATCCTTGTGGGTCAGGGTCCACCGTGCGGCCTCAGATATCGGGTATCACCTAATTAAAGTCACCAAGGGCCGTGGCCACTCCACCTCTGTTGGTAATAAGCAGGCCGACAGACTTGCTAACCTAGGTGCGGACCTACATATTCAAGACACGGTCCTGCGCGACCGAGCCAAGCGCTCTGGATTGCTTGTGCGCAATCTTGGTGTTTATATTGGTCACTGTATAGCGTGGATGTTTAAGAATGTGCCCAAAAAGGTTTGGGCGGCGGGTTCTGATGAGATTCCCGCCCCCTCGGTCCCGCCCCTAGTCCTCTCTGGTGCCTCCTCTGGGGCTTGCTTTGGCCTGCTTTGGCGCGTCGGGAACCTGAAAACAACAGGAACGCCAACCATGCCTGCAAACACACGAAACAGCAATGTATGTGTTGCCTCTTTGGGCCTGAGAGGAGGGTGCTGTCGGAGGCTTGCTGGGACATGCTGGAGGCATCGCGGGCCGTGTCGAGACCATTGGCCGCGTCTTTGAGCGATTTTTCGGCGTGTCCTGGAACGTTTTGAACGGGCACAGCGTCCAGAAGCCCACCAGGAAACATCCCAGAATTCACGGAGGCCGCGACAGGACGGCCTGAGACGGCCTGGGGAACGACAGGTCTGGGCCCGTAAAGACTTACAGTTCAGTGCTACATGAGCCTCTACCCCTCAGTGCTGCATCTGCCTTGGGGCATTCCACTTCGTGCCAGAGGCACGGTGGCGGATATTTCGTGGATGGGGCACATTGCGTGCCTTCGTTAGCTGTGAAAGCGTGCGCTACCCCGCGTCGCCACACCAGTTCGACTTCTCTGCGTCTGGGCGCCTGCATTTCTGGCTCTGGGGTCGGCGACCATGTCGGGCACGGTGCCGAGAGGGGGACGACGGCGACGTCGGCGTGGACAAGGACCCAGACATCCGCCGATGTGATTATCTCAATCCGTGGCCTCAAAGTTTCCGACCCCTTCCCTGCTGGGATCGGCGCGGGGAGGGCTAAGGGGATAGCCGGGGGGGGTGACCAGGGAACGCCAAGGTGGGCTAGATGTGGCCTGACCTAGCCTATAAGTGGGTTGCGGATGCCCCAAGCGGTTCAGGACGACGACGACACGTCGATTCCGACGACGACAACGACGACGACGCCGACGCCGACGCCGACGCCGACGCCGACGACGACGACGACGACGACGACAAACCACGCCACACCCACAAGGGGGGGCGCGGGCATCCTCCACCACGCCACGCCCACAGGGTCACGACCACGGGGAGCGGAGAAATCGTTCCCAATCGCAAGGCGCTCGCGAGGTTCACGGGCGTGCCCATCCATCAACCAGGAGGGATCGATCCCATTAGCATTGGGATGGGCAACGTTGGAGCATGTATAACCTCCCGGAACCCTCTTGGGCCATCTATAATACATTTATATGCTAGGTTCGGCCAGATATTTCCCACCTTGGGATCTACTGATAACCCCCTATTGCCTTAGCAACTCCGCCCGATCCCTGTGGGGGAATACTTTTTCCGTCCTGGATGTATCTTTGATGGCCCTGGGGCACATTTCTGGGCCCAAGGGGTCGAAATCGAGTGAAAACGCCCATGCTCACGAGTTGACAACTAGCGCCCATGCCCTTGCGACCCTTTGATTCCTCAGGGTGGAATTCCGTGGGAGGGGCTCTGGGTGTGTGTTGTTGTATGAGGGCCCTCGTTGGTACGGGAGCCCCCCTCAGGGTCCGACGATCCGCTCGAATGCTCGTGGCGCCATAATCTCTCTGCCCTTCACATTCTTCCTCTCTAGTTGGACAGAGTGTTGTCTTTCTGTCACAGACAGAGCGGATCTAACCGTCGGAGATCTGGGAGGCACGGCGAGAGGATCCGTAGCGACGGCCGCGACGTCGACGAGCGACGGCGGCGCAGCGGCGGCGCAGCGGTGGCGCTGCAGCGGCGATGTCGTCGAGCGACGGCGACGTCGACGAGCGGCGGTGGCGCAGCGGCGGGCGCCGCTGCAGGTGCACGCCGAGCGCAGCCGCGAGGCCATCGCCTCCGCGCAGGCGGCGGTCGTGGAGGCTGGCGCGGGGGCCGAGGCGGCGTCGGCGGTGTTCGCGGCGGAGGAGGCGCCTGCCGCGCGCGGCTCTCGGCGGTCGTTGCGTGAAGGCCGACCCCGAACCACACCTCCGATGAGGTTTTTGAGGTCGCCGCGGCGATCGCGGCGGCCACAGGTGGGGGCAGGCTTTCTGCCAAGGAGAGGTCCTGCCTGGCCCTTCCCAGCCAGCCCCCCCCGCTCTGCAGTGAGGGCGTGGCGGCGCGGCTCATGATCAGCAGGACTGCGACAGAGAGTTGCCAATGGATGTCCATCATGGGCAGCAGTTTCTAAGTTCAAACATGATGTTGCAAGTCGTCCAACGGGCTTTTCAACATTCGTCTACAAACTTGTTGATTAGATTCGCTCAAGAATTGTTGCCTGACTGCATGAAAAAGCTTGTATGTGTATTCGTTCACGCACTGGCCTCGTGAATTTGCTCCAGCGCTTTCGACTTTCTGTTCGAGAAGCAGTTGTTGTTCAAAAGCAGTTCTAGTCTGCCGCGCAACCTCGGCGGCGCGCGGCTGCCCTCGCCAGGGCCCGCCGATATCCCCAGATCTCCGACGACTGAGTTTTGTTCCATCTGGGTGCCTTCTCCCAATTTCGGCCTTTACAGTCAAAAACCCCAACAAGGACGCGCGACTTTGCTCAGGGTACCCTTGCGTCCTTGCTCTTCCTTGCTCTTGCGTCCTTGGGATTTCCGTCGTCCGCCGCCCCAAAAATCCCAACGTCGACTTCCAAGGGTCTGGCGTCCTTACCGCGCGTCCTTATCAGGGTTTTTGACTGTAGGCCCCGTCCTCTGGGTGCCTGCCTCTTCTCAGCTCAGGCCTTTGGGGCCCGTTCCCGGGGCCCCGGGGCCCGCAGAAACGGGACCGGGCTGGAGCACCTGCCCCGGGGTTCCGCACGCTCAGGGAGGGAGGGTCAGTTCATGGGGGTCGAAGGAGAGGGCACAGGGACCCTAAAGGGCCCCTTTGGAGCCCCATCTCCTGCAGCCCTCGGTCAGCACTTCCTGATTGCTCCCCCTTCACGACAACCCGCCCTCTGCATCGCTCGGACGTGTGAATTTTTCCTTCGGCGAGGACCATCGAGGAGCATCCTTGATCATTTGGCGAAAAAACCACGCACGAAACCGAACAAAGACACACGGAATGGACGTCCGAGCGATGGCGAGCGCCTTTCACGACCACCCGAGATCCTCGCCGGGGCCCTCGCCGGGGCCCTGGCGGGGGTCCTCGCCGGCCCAGGGGCGGCCTGCGGTGGTCCCTGGTCGAAGGGTACCGAGTCCATGTGGATCAGGAGGGGAAAAAACACACAGACACAATTAATCGACGATTCCCCAGAAAATACGGGAAAATATGGGCAGTGGGGGGGAAGACAGAAACCCCGAAAATATTGGAAAATATGGGAATCTTTTTATTTGTGTGTATTTATTTGTGTGTCCCAGGGCCTCTTCAGTGGAGGAAGGCCGTACGGAGTGCTCGGCCTCCGTCGGGGCGCGCTTGGTTTGGGATTCGCATCTCCTGACCTTGGGCAGCCTCCGGAGGTCTGTGCAGCGGCGCTCGTCGCGTCATCCTCGTCGTCGCTGGCGCCAGCGGGGTCGTCGTTGACGCCGTCGTCGTCGCTGCTGCCGTTGTCGTCGTCGTCGTCTTTGTTTGCGTCGTCGTCGTCAGTGGCGCTAACGTTGTCGTTGTTGGCGGCGGCGGCGGCGTTGGAGTTGACGTCGTCATTGCCGACGCCAGCAATGTCGTCGACGACGTGATTGACGTCGACGTGGTCTTCGCGGACGTCATTGTCGTCGTTGGCACGAACGACGTCGTTGTCGTCGATGCAGTCGTTGACGCCAGCCATGTGCGTCGTTGTCGACGTCGTCGCTGGCGACGTTCGAGTAGTTTTCGTTGTCTGTGTCGTTCGCTTCTTTTTCGCTCTTGTCGTCCTGCACCGTGCCGCCCTCTCGCGGCGAACACCCCTCCCCGAACGCAAGATCTCTGTTGAGCCAACGAACTTCAACGAATTTCCCACTGCATCCTCCTCGTCATCTTCACCATCATCCCCCCCCCCCAGGTCTAGCTTCCTTCCCTCTGCGGCGCGTGCGATCGCACTATCATGACCGAACTAACGACATCGGGTCTTGAGCGACGGGATGAGGAGGCAGGGAGGAGGGAGGAACAAGATGAGCAGGGAGGATGAGGACAACGCCCCCTCCCCCTGCCGCCTCCTTGTACCCGGCGCCGCCTGCGGCAGGCAGGCGCGGCCGAGGGTCGGTTGGCCGCCTTGCGGAAGGAGTGCAAGGCTGGCGGCGACGTCGTTGTCGTCGTTGGGGCCGCCGCCGTCGTCGTTTTCGTCGCCAGAGTTTCGGCTGCCGCCGTCGTCGGCGGCGTCGGCTTGGGTGTCGTCGTCCTTCTCCTCGTCCTCGTCCTCGGTCGGGGGCCCCACCAGACCTCTCAGGCGTTGAGAGGAGCCAGCACGACGCGCGCCTCCACCACAAAAAATGTCGATGCGCGGGCGCTCTCGGCGGCCTGGCGTTGCCCGCCATGGAAACACATTCGCGCACTCTCTCGGCGCACCGCCTGCGGCAGGTTCGTGTCGTGCCGACGCGGTAGTGGCCGCGCCGTGGGCGTTCAAGGTTGCTCGCCGCCGGTGGCACAACATCGGCCCGTATGGAACAGTCTGGCGATCGAAAAGCCGCCGATCGTTGACGGGTGCACGGTCCAGGGAGGGCAGAGGATGCGGCAGTGAGCGGAGGAGGGGGATGGGATGGCTGGGCGGGATGGGGAGGGGATGTGGAGCCTGCGCCCTCGGGAGCCGCTGGAGACCTGGAGGCCGTTGGGGGCCCCTGCAGGGAGTTTCGATGGCGACGGTTTGCTCCGGCGGCCTCTGCCCCGAGACGTCGTCTAGAAAGGGGGGGCGGCGCCACGCGAGGAGGAGGAGGAGAAGGAGGAGGAGGTGGCTAGCCGGTCACTGCTGGTCGGCCGCTGGGGTGTGGTGAGGGATGGAGACAAACCTCCGCAGCTCGAAGCTCGAAGGCAGAGGAGAAACAGTCTTTCCAGCACGCACCACGCGCGAGATGAACCGGCCTCCAGATGGGAACAAGCTCGGTTGGTCGGGGGAGCGGGCTGACCGGGCGAGCGGCGGCGGGAGAGGAATGCAGAACGCATGCGGATTGTGGATAAGAGTGAGGGGGCGGGGGTCGCTGGCGGTTCACGAGGTTCGAATGAAAAATTTAAAAGAGGCCCCCCCCAGGCGCCGATTGTTTCGTGACATACGTAGCGAGCCCGCCCGTAGCGAGCCCGCCGCAGGCGCATGTTGGTGATAGAAAACAGCAGTGTCGGTGGGTCGCGGGGTGGGTCGCGGGTGGGTTGCGGGTGGGTCGTGGGTTGGTCGCGGGTGGGTGACGGGTGGGCCGTGGGTGTGTCGCGGGCGGGTCGCGGGTGGGTCGCAGGTGGGTCGCGGGCAGGACGACGACAACAACAAGCAGAATCTTCACCGCTCCCCACTTCAGCCACGCACCCAGGGACTATGTAAGACCGTTCGGCCCTTCACTCTGATATATATATATATGTATATATACATGTGTGTATTTTTCAATTGTATATATTTATGTATATGAAATGTCGGGGGAACGTGCTGTCGTGAAGGGAAGAGGAGGGATAGGAAGGGGAACCAATGGGCGCCATTCCTGCTCCTCCCTCCTCCTACTCCAGTTCCTCCGGCTGCTTCCAGGATGGTGGGAGGGAGAGAGGTGCTCCGAGCGAGGGAGGGGTGATGGAAGGAGGGAGACGAGGAGAGGCGGGGATGGGGGACGGGGTGCCCGAGGGGGACCCCGGCCGAGCGGCACACTTAGGGGAAGTGGTTCTCCTCCCCCCATGAGGGAAGGAGGGATCTGCGCAGACGTGTTCCCCAAGCAGTGCTCGCACTTAGGGTTTCTTGCTTGCTTTTCTGAGTAACTGGGCCTGCGCGTCGGTCTGCGGCTATGTTGTCGCCCTCGCCGTTCCGTCGCGGCCTCGTTGCCGCCCATGGTCTGGGCCTGTGCGTCGGATTGGCGGCTATGTTGTCGCCGTCGCCGCCCCGTGTGCGCCGTCGCTGCTCGTCGCCGCCGTTCGGTTACACCACATGGATTGCACAACATCGATCGCACCGCATGCGTTCTCTAAGGAGGTCGGATTTACCACCCCTCCACGGTCTTATCCGTCCCCCCGGGGATGTGGATGTTACATATGAGTGTGCCCCATCGTTCATTCTCCATCTGACTTCAATCCGTTCCAGCCAAACGGTGTCGACACCCCCTCTCCGAACTGTCAAATGATCTCATGCGCGCGCACCCGAGTTACAAAACCCAGTATGTTTCAATTACCCCTTGCAAAACAGGGGGCAACGTCCACACGCGAGCGGCGTCGCGCGCGCATGCCGAAATCCGTCAGACACCGAAGGTTCCGTAAGGATTTCAAGGTCGATCTTCCCGAACATAGTAAACCCCAAAAAACATGGTTTTGCAATGTGGCTCTTCAAAACAAGTCTGCACGCGCTCGCTCCTGCGAGTGCCTATGAGAACAGAAGGCTTTCAAATCTGCTCATCAAGTGCGACGAAGCGGGCCTCTCGCGCGCGCGTGTCAAACTCATTCGAACGCCCTTGCGCGCTTCCCTGTAACACAAATTTCGCGGGCAACTCGCGTCCGTCGGCCGCGCGCGCATGTCGGAATCCTTCCACGACCTTCATCACCGACACCTGGACGCCATCCTCGTCATCGGCGTGATCGGCATCGGCACTGGCGTCATCGTCGTCACAAGCATCGCTACCATCATCATGGTGTCTGCTGTTGTCGACGTCGCCATAATACCGCGCCCGCCCGTGTCAGCGACTCGCACTGATGCCCGCGCATCAACGCGGCCTACGAGACGCGCAGGGAAGTCCCCAGCGGTCAGCGCCATCGCGGCCGCGCTGGTCGCGACGGACTAGTTGGCTGCTCTGCGCGCGACCCTGCGCGCGCTAGCGCGGCCGAAGCGATGTGCCTTCCAGCGCCAAGCAGTCACGGCAATCGCCGCCGCATGGGTTTTTCAAACCAAGCGGCGGGCGGGTGGGTGGGATGATCGGGCGAGCAGCAGAGTTGACAGCCTCAAGTGTCGGCAGGGTGAATTCCACCACACGGATTGCACCACATATGCCGCACAACATCGATTGCAATAGACATTGTTTGGGGCTGCGTTGGCTAGCGCGCGTAGATTTGCAGACATGTGTGTTCAGTTTTATGGACACCCAGGTATGGAAGCGGTATGATATACATTCATATATCTGTGTGTGTGTTCCCCAAACAGTTCCAAGGCGTTCCTTTTCCTGTGCAAGCCCCTCAGCACCGCCTGCACCCCGCGCCCTCCGGCCGCCTGAGGCCCCGCCCGCCTGTGGTCTGTCTACCCAATCAGTGCTTTGCGCGGCCCGCCTAGCTCTTAACCGGAAGAGGCTCGCTCTCGACCCGCAGACCCAAAAATGAATTCCCAAAACAGCCGTTGCACTTAGCCTTTACCTCCTAAGGCACTTTGCCTGTTCCCGTCCGCCGCCTCACCATTCTCCCCACTCGAAGGCCAGTCTGCCGCGAAAGCTGCCCCGTTCCCGCCCGTCGCCGCCGTCCCGGTAACCCCTCCCAGTCAAGTGCAGGCGCACGGCCTTGCAATCAAATTGCATCGCAATCGCATCGCGTCGCTTTGCATCGAGGCGCATTGCGATGAAATTTCTGTGCACTACGTATTCAATCCCATTGCATTCCGGTCGCGTTGCGACGCCGTGTGCAATCGCATTGTTCTGCGTTGCAGTGCATCGCGTTTCATTTCGTTGCATTGCGCTGTACTGCGCTGCATCGAGTTGCACTGCGTTGCCTTGCTCTGCATTGCTTTGTATTGCTGTGCGCTGCTTTGCGCCACACAGACTGCACCACATAGATCGCAGTATTCAGAGTGCACCGCATAGGTTGTATAGAAAATCGTTAAAGCGATACACAGAGAGAGGGGGAGAGACAACAAACAAAATAGCAGCAACAACAACAAACAAGAGCGAGCGAGCGCGCGAGGGAGCCAAGGGAGGAAGACACTGTGCTAGAGAAAGTTCCAAGGAGAGGCATCAGGAACCACTCCGGGTGGCCTGCTTTTCCCTGCCTTCTTGCTGTCTCGCCGCAGCCTCGGTGCGCATGGCGGCGGTTCTCCGGGCTCACCAGTCCTCGAGCTCGGGAGAGGGAGGGCGGGAGGGGAAGGAGGGAAGGTGAGGGAAGGGAGTGCGAGGGGGGAGGGAGGGGAGGGGAGGGAGGGGAGGGGAGGGAGGGGAGGGGAGCAGAGGCAAGCTAGGTGCGCTCGCGTCATATCTGACGTCTTATCCCCCTCTCCCATCCCTTACCATGGCGTAGCAATCGGATGTCGTAACATGGTATAGCATGGTGTTGGAGATCAACGCGCAGCATGACATAGCATCGTGTTGAAGATCAACGCGTAGCACAGTGGCGACGCCCCAAAATAGGGAACTTCTGCGGCACAGGAAATGGACGAACCGACACCGAATGTGTAATCACTTCCGATGTTTTTTCTGGAGGACATGTTCTAGATTTTGGGGCCGATTTGGAAGGACCGAAAACCATGCCGTGGCACGGCGCTAGAGATGGTGACGCCAGCGCTGCAGCGGAAACACGATTCGGAACCAGCGGAATCACGGAAATGAGGCCAGCGCTGCAGCGGGAGCCAAATTCGGAACGAGCGGTAGCCCGAAAATAAGGCCAGCGCCCCAGCGAGAGCAGCATTTTGAACAACATCCCAAGAGCAAAAACGCGGACATGAGCACGCGTAGCCTGACATAGCCTGGCGTGGCGACGCCCCAATGTTGAGGGGGGGAGGCTTCTGCGGCACAGGAAATAGACGAATCGGCATCGAATGTGTAATCACTTTCGATGGTTTTTCTGGAGGACATTTTCTAGATTTTGGGGCCGATCTGGAAGAACCGAAAACCATGCCGTGGCACGGCGCTAGAGATGGTCACGCCAGCGCTGCAGCGGGAACACGATTCGGAACCAGCGGAAGCACGGAAATGAGGCCGGCGCTGCAGCGGGAGCCAAATTCGGAACGAGCGGTAGCCCGAAAATACGGCCAGCGCTTCAGCGAGAGCAGCATTTTGAACAACATCCCAAGCGCAGAAGCGCGGACATGAGCACGCGTAGCCTGACATAGCCTGGCGTGGCGACGCCCCAGCTTCTGCGGCACAGGAAATGAACGAATCGACATCGAATGTGTAATCTCTTCCGATGGCTTTTTCGGGGGGA